CTCTGGTCCCTGCAGTGCCCTGGTGTGTACAGAGCATTCGTGGAGCTCGGAGCCAGCTCCGGAGGCAGGAGGCCAGGCCGGGTGCCACACACTGGGAAGGGCTCAGCCCGGCACTTGTGTCCCTGAGCCTCAGTCTCCCCATCTGTAAACGGGCGTGTGCAGGGCTGTAGGGGGATTAAAAGGCCAAGGTGGGCAAAGCACCCAGTAGGCGCCTAATTGGCGTGGCTGTTGGTGCCAATCCTGCCAAAAGGAATCCAGCAGGAACAGGAGCTGTCTCTGCAGGATGTGGCCTTGGCCTGGGACACGCTGGGCGAGGGCGGGGCCAGAAACGTCAGCCTGTGCACACATCAGGGAGCAACTCAGACAGAGGAAGTCCCCATGCTCAGGAAAGGACCGCACTCATTCCTTCAGAATCTCCATCTGAAAGGTGAGTTCTCCGGCCGCCTGCTCACTGAGCGCCTAGAAAAGTGAGCCTCAGACGGCAAGGTGCTGTGTCCCCTCGGGAGTGGAGCGCGCAGGACAGCGGTCAGCGTGGGCTGCTCAAGGCACTCAGAGCGCAACGTTCGGGAATTCACCCATTGTCATTTTCCTGGTTTGAGGGGACGCTTTCTGGTTTATTTTCTGTGAAGGGAAACACCCCTAACAGACATTTTCCCCAAATAGGGGCTTCCCAGCACGAGTGACGCAGTGACAGCGGAGACCTTTCAGAGTTGGGTCTGCACAAGAGGGCGATGTTCACGCCACCCAGGGGACTTCCTCTCCTGCTTTGTGAACTTGCTGGGGGCCTGCCTGCCTGTGGGACCTCCCTGTCCCTGGGCCACCATCCTTCCTGGGGCCCCGGGAAGAATGAAGTGCTTTCCATTGTGGGAACAATGCATGCTCGCTGATTAGTACACTTCTGTGCAGTAACAACATGGTGTGTTTAATTAATGCCTATTCCATCTGGTGATGATGTCCCTGATTAACCTGAGTCCTGTTTAGTAACGTGCTCGATTTAATTAATTTCGTGCATTCTGGTTAAAAACATTATGCTTCATTTGATTTATTTCGTCTGTTAACTGATCCTAATGAGTTCCAAAACATGGATGCAGCCGTGGGTTTTGGGGATATTTGAGGCAGGGGGTTCTTGCTCCCAGAAGTGAGAGCCTCCTGAGGGGGAGCTTGGAGCAGAGCGTCAGGTGAGAGCTGGGCCTGGCCGGGACCCTCCGCCCACCCTAAGTGCCCGCGTCCCCTGGCTGCCCCGAGGACCTTGCCCTTGTCTGGTCCTGTGGCCTCCTTAGTTCCTGCTCCAGGCCCCGCCCCTCCCCCATCCATACCACTGACTGCAGCCTCTCAAGGCCACCATGGCTCCTTTCCCAGGTGCTCTCCCTTTCTGAGAGCTCCCCAGAGTCCCCTTCCCACCTCTGTTGTCCCCCCCCCCCGCCTACACAGTCAAGGGCTTTTCCGGAAACACAAATCTGCCCAGTTTCCTGTGCGTGGTTCCCAAACCCTTACCAAGTGACCCTGCAGACCTCTGCCAGCTGGCCACCTGTGGGCCATCACACCTGCTGGGCTGGTCCACTGGGAATTCTTGGAGCCCTAGACGTTGTGGCCCCAAGCCTAGCATTCGTTTGGCACAGGTGGGCACTCCACAGTGTCCAATGGTCGGTGGTGGTACTTCCTGTCCAGTAGCTCCAGGGTGGGGGGTGAATAGTGTGGGGGGCATAAGACAGATGTGAACTTGATCTCCTTACAGAGTGACAGCATGGTGACAGGTGTATGTATGGGTCTAGTGGGTCCATGGGAGGAGCTCCCTTCCACTTGGGCGGGGGTGGGGTGTGGTGTGGTGTGTGACACCTGAGCTCAGCCCTGACAGGTGAGGAGGTAGCCAGCAGGTGTGGGGGCAGGTGGCATTTCAGCAGGCCCACCAAGGACAGGGAGCACGAAGGGCACCAACTAGAGAGGGGGGCAAGGACCTTGGCCCTCAGGCCTGCTGGATGCTGCGAGCTAGCCTCATTTCTAGCTGGCACTGAGGGTGCCTGGCTGCGAGGTCCCATGGTCCCATCCCCTCAACTCCTGGAAGGCAGAAAGGGGCTCCATGGAGGGGAGCCTGGAACGCGAGCCTGGGGAATCAGACAGCCGATTTCTTAGTGCAGAGGGTGGGGCCTGAGCAGGGCTGCAGGCACAGGCAGCCTGGGGAGAGGGGCTGGCAGTGTGATGCTGGGTCCAGGAGGCCCTTCCCCGTGGAGGTCCCGGGCATGGGAGAAGGGGGGCTGTGGAGCTGTCAAGCTCTGAGAGCCAAATCCCAGCTTCTCTGCCTAGTGGTGAGCTGCTGCGGGGCCCTGCTCCAGCCTGAGTCGCCATCTGTAAATGGGCTGACACTAACACGCCTCCCTCCGAGGGTGCGGGCTGCATCCAGGGCAAGGGACGCTCTGGGCAGAGCTTGACACCAGGTCTCGGCTCCATGGTGGCCAGCGAGGTAATGACTCACGCTGGAGGCTGGCTGGGGGCCTGAGGCTGAAGCAGAGTGCTGGGAGGATGGCTGGAGATGCCCGGTGCTGGGCAGGGGAGAGCAGGCGTCAGCCGAGGTGGAAGCAGTGTGGGACATCCCTTTGTGGATGTCCTGCAGGTGGGCAGGGGCTGGGGAAGCTGACCTGGTGACATCCATGTGACAGAGGGAGTGGACACCAGAGAAGTATGTGTGTGCCCCCCCCCCTCTCTCTCCCTCTCCCTCTTCCCCCACCCCTCCTCTCTGGGCTCCATCACCTCTGGGCTGCCCCTGCTCTCCCAGCCCTAGAGGCCGTGCCTGGCCCCTGCCCTGCTTTTCTGTCTCTGCTCTGCACCACCCCTCTGGAACCCCTGCAGATTAGGGCTTTACTGGACTCTTCTCAAGTTTCCCCATTTGAGAATGCCATGTGTTTCCTCCTGGGACCCGAAGTAATAACACGAGACCTAATGATGAAGAGCTGCCAAAAAAGGACTCGGGGGAGGGACAGGGGAAGAGGGAGAGAGAGTGGTAGGTGTCCTTGTAGTTAAACAAAGCAGGTGACACACTCAGAAGAGGAAGAAGACAGGAGCCAGACTTCAGCAAGTGGCCAGCGTATGCAGTTTGGAGAGTGGACCAGCAGCGAGCGATGTATTTAAAGGGGAAAGGAGGCAGGAGAGAAGGAGGCACGGAGGGCAAGAAGGAAGGAGCAGAGGGTCCAGCACTGGGAAAGGAAGCAAGAGGCTGAAAAAGGAGTCCGGCCTAAGGAGCTGGCTGGGACAAGGCTGGAGGAGGCGGAATTCCGGGGAGCGGGAGGCAGGAGCGTGGAATGATCAGAAGGGGACAGTGGTCTCCGACTGCTCTCCTGTCCCTGCACCTTGTACAGAGGGGCGGACTTGGGTGCTTGTCTCAGTCCATCAGTGCCGAGAAGACCACAGACTGGGGGACTTAGAGAGAACAGGAGCTAATTTCTCACTGTTCTGGGGGCTGGAAGCCTGAGATCAAGCCGCCAGCAGATTCGGCGTCTGCTGAGAACCTGCTTCCTGATACACAGACAGTGTCTTCATACAGTCACCTCACAAGGTGGAGGGGACAAGGGAGCTTTGTGTGGTCTCTTTTATAAGGGTACTAATCCCCTTCACAGGGGCTCCACACTCATGACCTAATCACCTCCCCACAGTCCCACCTCCCAATACCATCACATGGGGCGTTAGGCTTCCACACATGAATTTGGGGGTGACACATTCAGTCCATAGCAGTACTGTTGTAGAGACAATGGCCCCAGCCTCAGAGTCACCATGTCCTGCCCTCTGCTTATGAGGAGGTGAGTGTGCTTCTACCAACGCCAGTTCCACATTTCATGATGCTGTCGAGGTATTTTATTTGCAAACACGAGGGGAGATGCATCTTGACAACATTCCAGGTAGTGAAAAAATTGCCCTTGCTGTCATTTTGGGAGCATAACTTAGACTCTCTGGTTGTTCGGGTCAGTGGAGGGGCTGGACCGTGATGGCTGGTGGATTTGTCGTGATGCTGCCACATACAACCCAGGAGGCTCCAGCCGGGTTTGGGTGCTGGCTGCATAGCTGAAAGCCAGGGCCCAACTAGTCAGGAGTCCTGGACTCGATTTCCCCCCTGCACTTAGATTGTACAGTCCATGTCCAGTGGACTGTTTCCTGGAAACACTCTGGTGGGTCACTGGAAGGAAAAGGAACGGAATTTCCAAAGAAAGAGTGACTGCAGGGAAAGACGGCAACTGGAGGCAGGGAGAGCTGCCTGGAAGGTCTCCGCGGGGACAGAGGCGGGTGTCTGGACAGGACGGAGGGAGTCAGGTCCTGGGACCCTCCATTGGGGCCGTGTTGGGCACCACCTGTCTGGCGTCTCCCCCCTGTCGGAGGACTGGAGGGACACCGCACTTCCTATCTGCTCTTCTCCTTGAAAAATAAAACGATGTCCCCTGGGATGCGGTCTCCACAAACATCAAAGTCAGCGGAAGGCAGTCGGCAGGAGGGGGCGGGACGGCCTTGGCGACAGCACTGGAGACCCGGCGGTGGTCGGGAGGGGACCCGAGCTGGGTGTCGGGAGGGGACTCGGGATGAAGGTTCGGGAGGGGACCTGGAGTCAGGGAGGCCAGAGGGGACCGAGGCGGGAGGTGCAGGGCCTCCACAGGAGAAGCTGGATCGGCTACCACAGCTTGGGCAGCGGAAGTCCCGCCCCTGTCTGGGAGGCCACGCCCCTCCAGATCCGCCCCCCTCACGCCCCGCCCCTTACATTACGGCCCCGCCCTTCGTTTCTTAGCCTCGTCCTCTGTATGCCACGCCTCTAGGGGCCGGACGCGCATTCAGTTTCCCGCCCCCTGGAGGCCCCGCCCTCTGGAGGCTCCGAACCACCCTTAGATCGCGCACTGCTGCCGCCTCCTGAGACCCGCCCACGACCTTGGAGGCCACGCCCCTACCTCCCCGGGGACCCCGCCCACCAACGACCACGCCCTCTGGAGGGCCCGCCCAATCGACCCCTCCCCGGGCCCGCCCCTTGCTCCGGGCCGCGGAGGCTGAGGGGACCGTTGGGCGCGCGGACAGCTCGGACTCGGCCGGCGGAGGGAGCGGCCGGTAGGTTGCGGGCCGGGCGCAGGGCCGCCCCGCCTCCGCTTTCTTTCTTTTCTAGGCGCGCGCTCGCGCCCTCCGCGGACCGGCCCCGCCCAGCGCGGCGGAGGGTTGAAGGGGCGTCCGGCTGGGTCCGGCTCCTCAGGGCCGCTGTCTCCTTGGGGACCCCCGCCCCCCGCCCCCGGGCCATCGGCCACTCTCCTTTTGTTCCCGGGCCCAAATCTTGGGACTTGTCGTGGGCCCGGTGCGGACGGACCACCGCCCGGTCCCGGGCGTGGGTCGTTGTGAAGCCGGCCCGATCCCGGCCGGGACTAGACGGGCGGCGTTCGCGGCGAGAGCCCCGGCCTGCGTGCCCACCGCGTTCGCTCTGTGCCAGCGGGGTCCAGGCTTCCTGGCCGAACCTAACAGGCGCCGCATTGTTTGGGCAGAGGCTGTCTCCAGAGACCCCAACTCTGGAAATTAACTGCAGCCGCCTGCCGGCCCCCCGTCGCAACCTCTGCCACGGCTCAGGGGCGGTGGGGTGTAGACAGAGTGACCCCGAGTTGTGGGGTGTAGACAGGGCGGCCCCGAGTTGTGAGGTGTAGACAGAGTGGCCCCGGAGCTGTGGGGTGTGGACAGGGTGGCCCCGGAGCTGTGGGGTGTAGACAGGGCGGCCCCGGAGCTGTGGGGTGTAGACAGGGCGGCCCCGAGTTGTAGGGTGTAGACAGGGCGGCCCCGGAGCTGTGGGGTGTAGACAGGGCGGCCCCGGAGCTGTGGGGT